CCTTCAGGTTTTCAATTGCAATGCTCTCTCCAATTTGAACATATTCGTCGGGGAGATTAGCAGGACGACCATATGCAAGCATGCATACTGTAGCTATCATTTTACGTAAAGGACTCGACACATTCTTCCCAGTAGAATGAATCTTTTGTTCAAAATAATCATAGTAATTTCCAATGCTTGTAAAACGAGTTGAAATAATTCGATGCCCATCTGACGTAAAAATTGTCCTGGTATACAGTTATTAACAATTAAATCATGACGCTTCTTCCTATCACAGTGAATACAACGCCTACCAAAGGTGAGGCTTTTTTTGTTGATAAACGTTAAAGAAACTATATAAAGGTGTATTTGATTGGTTTTATCTTTCATGAAAAATATTTTTTTTTGTTCGAATTCTTACTTTTGAGATGTTTAATTGTCCTTTTTTTTCCATAAAAATATTTTTCAAAAATTGGTCACGTGGTTATATTTTCCTAAAAAACAAGAAAAACATTTTTTTCTTCAATTCCTCTTGGCAATCGTATCACCATCCCGCTATTGTTCCAATCGATCCGAACTAATCTGTACAATTTTATAAGGGTGAGTATTTAAAAATATCTAATAAGATATGTGCAGTTTCCATACACAATTATATAAGAATAAAATAAACATTTCATATCACTCTTCTCTTATGGAGTATATCAGTGATCAAACGACACACCCATGTTATGTCATCTTAAATTTCAGTAGGATCTCTTATTTCTTAATAAAAAACCCGAATGTCCACCGATAACTCATGAATAAATTACTGAATATAAAGTAAAAGGAAAAAAACAACTTGCACAAGAGTATCTTACCTTGATTGATCAAACGAGTTTTTTGATAAAAAAAATATACTTGCAGTTTATAGATGCTTTATGTGGAAGCTGTCGTGTAAAATTCTTTGGTAGTGAATTGTGAGACAATTGCATACTATTTATAGTAAAAAAAATAGTGGTTGAGTCATGATACAATTGAGATGGAAAATCGTGTCTATCAAATTGGATAAGAATTGAATTCAAATAAAAGAATTATGATTATTTTTAAACTTTATCAAATTAAGATTGCAATCAATATCTCTATCCAAATTACAAAAAGATTATCATTAT